AGGGAGCCTGATGTGGGACTCGATCCCGGGACTCCAGGATCATGACCTGAGCCGAAGGCAGTCGCTTAACCAACTGAGCCACCCAGGCGCCCCAATTTAGTACTTTTTAAACAAAAATAGGCTATTGCTTTAGAGCACCATGATGGAGGAGGTATCTCTGAACTCTTCTGAAACAATATAGATAATGTATTGTGCTGAGCAGAAATGCCAGAATGTGGGAACTCATTTAGATTTCCAAGGTCAAAGGATATATGGCATACATGGCTGTTCTAACGTGATCTCTGCTTCTGTCATTCAACAAATGTTTATTGTATATATGCCATGACATGTACTATGATCGTTACTGAGTTATATAATCATGAACACAGACCCAGTGTCTTGCCCTTCGGTGTAGTGGCTCAGTTTTCACAGTTTTAGTCTTCCTGTACCACCACTAGTTGATCTCTTTCAGCCTTAATGAACTAATTAACATCCCACATACCATACTGTCTCTTATCCCTAATTGTTTACTTAATTTGTTCATCTGCCTGGAAAGTCCTCTCCCTTATATCTCTCTTGCCTACTCTCACCTTTTGCTTTGCTCCAAAACTTGGCTAACTCACCCATTTTTAAATTTAGCTTACTTTCTGTAGGATGCCCATAACTCTTAATGATTCTGTCCTCCAGTTGTGTTAGCAATCCTTTCTCTCCTCCATGTTTGTATTATGAAAATATTTGTTTGTGAAAAATGGCCAAGGGAGATTGGAATATATTCTAAGAAATACCCTTTTATGTCAAACATCATTTCTCAATTGATCTGGACCTCAATATGTATACCCAGTCTCATTTAAAGAAAAAAATATACCCTGTAGTATAGCTTCAGCTCTTAGTTGTAACTTGATTTTACGAACTTTCAGTGAACCAGCTGCTTTGTTTTTCTGGTTACCTCCTGAGAAAACTGAGCTTGTTAAGAATGTGGCTAGTATGGGTTTTAAGTTTTCTTGCTGTGTACTCCTCCCTGTCTGGTACCTCCTAATTTGCATTCCTGCTAGGAAGTTTAGTGAATGAGGACAGTGTCTTTCAGATTATTTCCTGCCACATTATGATCCTGAATGAGAAAAACCACCAAAAATGATCCAAAGATTTAGTAAGTACTTTGAAAAGATGTAATTTGAGCGGCGCCTGGGTGGCTCAGTTGTAAAGCGTCTGCCTTCGGCTCAGGACATGATCTCAGGGTCCTGGGATCGAGCCCCACATCGGGCTCCCTGCTCGGTGGGAAGCCTGCTTCTCCCTGTCCTACTCCCCCTGTTTGTGCTCCTGCTCTATCTCTCTCTCTCTCTCTCTCTCTCTCTCTCTGTGTCAAATAAATAAATAAATAAATAAATCTTAAAAAGATGTACTTTGAAAGATGTACTTACAGATACATCTTTTTTTTTTCAAATTTCCCATTGTTTTTTTTTCTTTTTTATTATGTTAATCACCATACATTACATCATTAGTTTTTGATGTAGTGTTCCATGATTACAGATACATATTAAAGGGAAGTAGATTGTGGGGTGGTTTGCCATAGAAAGAATAGCACTCATATTTTTTTGAGTTCCTACTTATATACCAGAACTTGTGTAAGCCACATTACTTTTTATTATCTAATTTAATCCTCACAATAGCCTGAGGTACATAATTGAATCTTAGTAATTTTTGAAACTGGGATTTGAATATCAACCTGGTTGGCTCCAAAGCCCAAGTTCTCAACCATTACACCAAGTGCTTTAGCTTCTAATAGAATCACCTTCGAGGCCATGATAGAGTTGTTTCTAAGATAGTTGGCATTGTCTTTAGGATAAAATGTAAGTTCCTTAATGATGTACTATAGTTCTTTGAAATGTAAATCCTACCTTACCTGTCCAGACTTTTTCCTTATCACTACCTACCTTACTCCTTTCTCTGTATTGCTGATTGTTTGCAGCTTCCCAAACTTGCTGTGCTTTCCTGTTTCTGGCTGTTGTACATGCTATTCCTTCTGTCTAAAATGTGCCTTCTTTGCCCCATTTTGCCTAACGTGTTCCTTGTGCTTTAAAATTCAATTTAGTTAATCATCTTAGGAAGACCATCTCTATCTTTGAATCAAATGTGTTAGCGCCTTCTTTAGAACACCTTCCACCCGTATAGCAGTGACCACATATTGTATGTCGTCTTATTGTGTGTCTCTTTTATGAATAATTTGAGCACATTTACAGTGTTTGATTCTTTAAAAAAATTTAGTATCCTCTGCATTTAGCATTGTTCTTGTTCAGTGGTAGGTACTCAATAAATTTTTGTGGAATGAAGGAATATTTAAATGAACAAACTGATGTTTTAAAGTATGTCTTTCCTGTCTTGTTGAAATGCAGAGCCAGGCTTTCCAGGACTAAATCCTCCAATTCCTTGGGAACATGCACCACGTCCCCATTTCCCTCTTGTCCCAGCTTCGTGGCCTTATGGTTTGCATCAAAACTTCATGCATCAGGGAAATGCCAGATTTCAGCCCAACAAACCATTCTATACTCAAGGTACCGTTGCTTACAAATTCATTAACCGGCTGGGTGGGTTTAGTTCTGGGACAAGGAAGCTATGTGAAGGCCAGGAACAAGGAGTGAAATTTTATGCATTCGATAAACATTTATTGAGAGAGCATATTGTGTGTCACACTGTGCTAGGTGCTTGTTGTTCAAGCAAGAATTAAGTAAAACCTGTATACCTAATGCACATTTTATTAGGAGAGCCAGACATGTAAAATAAACAAGGATAGGAGCTTAGAGGGAATCAGTTAATGTTATCCTAGCAGAGATATAATAGAGATAGGGACACCAAGGATCAATTCACACAAGATTTTGACATTTGAACTAGATTGTGAAAGAGATACAGGATTTTTTTTTCCCTAGAGATTTTTTAGAGATTACAGGTGAAGAGAGTTCTTAGCTGAGGGAATAATATATGCAAAGTCAATGATATTTGTCTGGCATAAGGAGAAAAAAGAAAATAATAGGGCTAGAGTATAAAGTAAATGGGAAAGATGTGTAGGTGATGAGGTTAGAGAAGGTAGGCTGAGGCCATATTACGTAGAAGTTTTTGGGACTCAGTTTAGTAAATAGTGGAGATCTAATAGAAGTTTTGAATTGAGTAGTGACATAGTCAGATTCGTTCTGTTGAACTAAGACTTGAATGACATTAGAATTCGTTATATTTTGTTGGTGCTGATGTACCAATAATGGCTTTGATCTAAGTAATGAATATTACAAACTAAGGAATACTTGTAGCATTTTATCTAGCCTGCTTGCCTCAAAGGTATTTTAGTTCTAATAGGGAAAGTCTGAGTCTGGCCCTCAGCTCTTAGTTAACCTAGGAATTAAAAAACTAGAGTCAAAGTTATTACACTTAAACTAGGAGTTCAAGAAATTAAAGAAAGGCACTCAGTAAATGTTGACTGAATGAAATGATAACTTTAAGGGGAAGTCCCTGGTACAGGTTTCAGACTTGATTCCATTTAAGCGTTCCTAAACTATCCCATGTACTGCTGGGACATCCCTGTACTGTAGAGTGGCAGAACATTGAGTATGGTGGGCTTATTCTTAGTAAAGAACTGGGGTTGAGGAAAGTTACTTTTGGTCATACAAACCCTTTTAGGGCTCGGTGGGGTTGTGGGGGGAGTCGGAAGTTCTTCCCTGGTGAATTTGTTCCCCTTGTTTCCTCCCCTTCACTTCTCTTTTCTTTCACATACCTACATTTCCCTTCTGTCCTCCTCCTTCCCCTGCTAAATGTTTTGACATGCTTTATCTCCTCTTTACTGTATAAATAGAAAAAAAGAACTAGCTACAAGTTAAATTCTAAGGGTTGTCAGTTAAATAGGCACAAGCCTTTCAGTTTCCTGTCTGTGTTGTGTCCAACAGACAGATGTGCCACCCGTCGGTGTAGAGAGCGTTGTCCCCACCCACCAAGAGGAAACGTGTCGGAGTAATGCGAGTCCATTTTCTTTCAGCTGGTCTACCGATGCACAGCAACCAGCCAATCCTGCTGTCTCAAGGGTATCCGTACCTCAATGTCAGTTACATTCAGCAGAAAAAGTGACATTTAATGGAAAGCAAAACAAATCAGGTCCTGATTTAAAATTTTAACACGTTTAGATAGCTTATTTAAATTCTAAGACTGTTTTTAAAGACTGTATTATTTGTATATAAATATGAACTATAGTTTTTACTAGTATCACCAAATTGAGTGATACAAATTTCATCTATTTTATTACCCTATTTTTAAGGGAATTTTATGTTTTGTTTAATCTTGATGAATTGTATAAAGAGAGAATTTAAAAATTACATTCTTTATTTTCTATTAGCTGTATTCATACTTTGGTTGCTTCAGACTTTATATATATTGTTCTTAAGAATTAGGAAAAACTTTCATGTGTTTTAAATTTGTCACTTCTATTCTTTACAGAACCTTGTAGTGCCAAAAACTTTTTAAAAGGTAAAAAAAAAAAAAATAAAACTACAACGTGAAGATTCAGAATTTTTTTCTTTTACATTCTTGTATATTGAAAATACTCAAACTTGAACAGAAAGTTGTTTTTGTCTGTATTTGAAGTAATTCTATTTTAAGTTAATAAATCTTTTTGACAAGAGTCAAATTTGGTTAATTCACATGGTTGTTAGATCATGGAAATATAATGTAACAATTAGGACATTTGTTTTACTCTCCATGAATAGAGTATTCTAAATTACAGACTTAGTTTTAGAGATCAAGGATCTTTTTTTTGGTCTTTTATTTTACTGGATCTTCACAACACCCAATGAAGTTGACAGAAACATATGCTATCTCCATTCTATCATTGAGAAAACTGAGGTGCAAAATAATAAAGTGAAATCCAAGGTAGCACACTTTTATGTTGGAAAGAGAATTGAAACAGATCTTTTGAAGGAGAGTTTTTAAACACTGAGACTGATACTGGCAATTAGAGTGGAGGGAAGATATTTCTTATTTACTGAGGTACCAATATGTGCCAGGCTGTCCATTTTGAATTCTTTTACTACCCAAAATGCACTCCTGCCAGGATGGTTTTTACCAATAATCACTGATTATAGTTGAAATTAAAACTTGTGTTGTTGGTGGTATTTTGGTACATTGAGGTTGAGGTCATTTTGTCTAAAATCCCCAGTTATATATTTGCCAGGGATTTTGGACTAAATGATCCTATAGATTTGGAAATCTGCAGAATAAGTAAATACAAATGTATTTCAAGGGCAGTGTATTATCTTTGTTCTGCTTTCTCAGATATGCATTACTTAAATAGGAGACTACCTGGGCTTTTGCCATATTTTCCAGCTTGGAAGATGCTTGAAATCTATTGCGGGAGGTTGAGGGCTTTCCTGCCATATTTGCAGTCCTGAAAAGATATTTATTAAATGTTAAGATCAGGTGTATTTACTGTTAGTTTTTCGTATTAAAACTTCATTATTTCTCAGAATCCTACTAGATGATGGAGTTCACTCATTTGTTTTTTTAAGGAGATAGCTGGCCCAGTGTATATTTTTGTGTTAAAATATAGGCATACCTCGGAAGTCTTGCAGGTTAGGTCCTAGATCACTGCAATAAAGTATCACAATAAAGTGAGTCACATGCCTTTTTTGATTTTCCCAGTGCATATTGAAGTTATGTTTATACTGTAGTTGATTAAGTGTGCAAGAATATACATCTTAAGTAAAACATTACTTTTATTGCTAAAAAAATGCTAACCATCAGCTGAGCTTCAGTGAGTTGTAGTCTTTTTGCTGGTGGAGGGTCTTGACTTGATGTAGATGAGTGCTGACTGATGAGGGTGGCGGTTGCTGAAGGTTGGGGTGGTTGTGGCAATTTCTTAAAATAAGACAGTGAAGTTTGCCACATTGATTGACTTTTCCTTTCACTTGAACACTTAGGGCCATTGTAGGGTCATAAATTAGCCTAATTTCAGTATTGTGTCTCAGGGAATAGGGAAGTCCAAGGAGAGGGAGACAAGGTAATGGCCAGTCAGTAGAGCAGTCAGAATACACACATTTATTAAGTTTGCTGTCTTATATGGGCATGGTTTGTGGCACCCCAAACCACGGCACAGATCACTGTGACAAATATAATAATAAAAAAGTTTGAAATACTGCGAGAATTATCAAAATGTGATAGACACAAAGTTGTCAAATGCCATTAGACAAAAGGTACCAGTATACTTGCTCGATGCAGGGTTGTCATAAACCTTCAATTTATTAATGAGTTTTGGTTTGTTTTTTTCATCTGTGAAGGTGCAATAAAGTGAAGTGCAGGAGAACAAGGAATGCTAGTATGACTTGGAGCATTCAGGATTTTTTTAAAAAGTTAGTTTTCATATATTTAGTCTTGGAGAACAGATGATGAGGTGTACAAGATGTTCATTTTGCTGTTCTTTTGTCTATATTTGAAATTTTTATTGGAAAAAAATCTCCAATAAGAGACTGCCCCCAGCTCAGCCTTACTTTCTAAAGGAAGGCATTTTACCACCTGGCAAAAGGTACTTTTGGGGCAAAAGTAACCTAGGTTTTAATTATATGACAGTGTTCTACATAGTAACTTTCAGCATCTCACTTGTCCCTCCTTCAGCAATTACCAGTGCTCAATAAATGGCAAAACTGTACCAAGTGGAAAAATAGAATACTCTTAGTTTATAATTTATACAGTAGTATCTCAGTTTTAGAAGTTTGCAAACTTCTCATAGTTTTTGATTTTGAATTCAGATTCATTGTAGAGCAATTGAAGTGCCCAAATTATCAATTTTACAGAGTACACACACGACATTTAAGATCATATTGTTTTGAAATGTTTTGTATAATGTTTAATGACATGGAGAGATTAATATTTTCATTGTCATTAAAGATTATTCAAAAGTATGAATATTAATAATGTACCATTTATTTTAGTCCCCTACAGATGGGACATTTCTGCTTTTTTCCTCCTATATAAAAAATATGTAAAGTGATGGGATAAAGCTATTTTTGTGTATATAATTCTAGTATGGTGAATTTATATATTTATATATGGGATTATTAGGTTAAAGGATACAAGTTCTAAGGTTCCTGCTATATATTACTAAATTGCCCTCCAGGAAAGTGGTTACCATTTTGTGGTTCCAACAAACAATATATAAAATGTGTTGGTAAGCTTATAAAATAGCTTTAAAGTCCAAACAATTCATTTTTTTCCCTTGTAAAGGATAATTTAAATGTGTTTAAGAAAGGAACATTAAAGAACAAAGTATAAAAACCACCCAAAAGTCCATCATCAACCAGAAATAAATACTATTAAGAGCTGATGAACTTCATTCATTCCACCTCTCTCTTTTATTTATTTAAGTAATCTTTACACCCAACGTGGGGTTCAAACTCATGACTGAGATCAAGAGCCACACGCTCTTCCAACTGAGCCAGCCAGGCGTCTCTCTCCACCCCCAGCTATCTTTCTTAAACATATACATACCTACAAAGAGTTTTACAAAAGTGGGCTCATATGCTATATTTACTAAATATAGCAAATTAATTTTACTTGGATCTAACAAAAGAAAAAATGTGGAAGAAATGCTCAACTTTAAAAAAAGCTTTTTCTATGGTAATTCTAAAAGATTCCTCTTAAAATTAAGGACAATTACAGAAAACATTAAAGAGGCTAGAGTTATTTTTTCCTAGTTCTCACGTATGTTTTAATTAGAAACCATGTATGACTCCTGTTATGAAAAATGAAATCAGCACACTTAACAGTTCCTCTACTTCTTGGTTATATTACTTCTTACATAGACAATGTTCACATATAAGTTGAGCCCTAAAATTATTTCCCATTATTTAGTCTTTAAAATGTTTGGTACAACTCCTTTTACTGCTTTTTTCGAAGTCCTTAATTTGATCTCTTGTTGGATAACTTCATTATCAGGCAGTTTTTTCCCAAGTGAATAGAATGCCTATTGTCTTTACATTTTAAAGAAAACAGCTTTGCCTAGGTATGAAATTCCTGTCACTCTTTATTTTCTGCAGACCTCTAGAGCCTTTTGCTTCACTGCCTTATGAAGTTTGCTATGAGACCAGCCTGATTTTTCCCCCCCTCATTATATAGGACTTGATTTCTCTGCTTAGATGTCCCTATAATCCTTTATGTCTTAAATTCATCAGGATATTTCTTGATTACTCTTTATTATTTCAAGAAAATTTTCTTGTATCTGGACATTTAATGTACTCAATTCTCTTCATCAGGAATGTGAATTATGCATATTTAGGATTTCAATTGTTTTATCTTTGTAGCTTTTAAGTTTATTATTTTCCATTTTTATTTCCTCCAGCCTATTTTCTCTATGCTTTATGTTTATTTTATACTCTATAGTATCTAATAAGGCTTTTATTTTTCAATTTTTCAAATCATTTTCTACTAAGCTTGTTTCCCATCTCTTATCTTTTTTTTTTATTTTTTATTTTTTTTAAA